AAAAAAAAAAATACCCGACTTTGAAGACTTAATACAAAGAAAGGAAAGTAAACATCTCAATAAACTTTTACCGTTGATCATATGTTGAAATAATAATTTGGGTTAAAATATATTATTAAATTAAATTAAATTAAATATACAAAAACCCAATTGCTCAATCACAAAGGTTGAAAGCTATGTATAAAACTCCACTTCGCCTATTTGAGCAACCAAAGTATTTTCTATTTATAGACTTTAAAAGGATCACTCAAGGAGGAAAAGATTTCCTCCTACTTTCACCATCCCTGCTTCTGAGAAACTCTAATATGCTCAATATGGTATAGAGAAGACCCTAAATAACCAATGCAAGCAATACCTGTCTGGTTGTAATGCATCCAGTTCAGCATAATCTCAGGAGCCCTGTACCACCGAGTGGCCACATAGCCTGTCATTTCATCATCTGTATGTCGAGCCAGTCCGAAATCCAAGATCTAAGGGAAAGGACAGAAACCAGGCACTGGAACAAATTCCAAAGACTTATAAAGCAGGGAAAAACTCTAATGTCTTATAAAAATGAGAATAATAGAGCACTTTCATAAACATACTTCCTGACCCATGCTTAAAATGCATGACAACTACAATAAAAACCTTAACAAATAAAATTACAAAGCAAAATAAAAATGTCACTCCTAAGTACTTTTTATAATTGTTGAAAACATATATCCACCCAAAATTTACATATGACTATTGATAGCAGCTTTAGATACAGTCCCAAACTGGAAAGGAAGCAAATGGCCATCAACACTGTGGTATATTTATCAAATGAACAGACTAAGTAAGCTGTTTAAGTGACATTAAAGATGACATCAGATATCTTGTTTTCATTCTAAAATAAAATTCAGTTAGACATTTAATGTATTAGTTATAATAAAGGAAGATTATAGTTTAAATGTGAAATAAGTAATCCTGGATAGAAAATTATTAGACTAAGTAAAAGCTAGTCACACAAACATACAAAATATTGTTTGATTTCATTTATATGAAACTCCAAAAAGATAAATCTACTCTATAGTGTCAAAAACAAGATCATTGTTTGTCTGATGCCAGGATTGGAATAAAAGGTTGAGCAATAGCTGGGAAGTGATAAAAATTTTTGTTATCATCATATTGTGTTAATGGTTAATGAATATATAAATTTGTCAAATGGATACTTAAAATGAATGCAAAAGGAAAATGAACAAAAAACATCTAGAGTTATTTTCTACAAACTATATCGCTTATCTGAATTACTTTTAATAAATGGGGCTTCCCATTTTTTTTTTTAGGAACCTAGTCTAATAATTTTCTATCCAGGATTATTTGTTTCACATTTAAGCTGGAATCTTCCTTTATTTAACTAATATATTAAATTTCTAATTGAATTTTATTTTAGAATGAAAACAAGATACCTAATGTCATCTTTAATGTCACTTAAACAGTCTACTTAGTCTGATGTAAATTTTAAAATCTAATATTCCTATGGACCATTATCTCTTATCTGAAAATCATGAATTTTCAGATTAAAAAAGGTATGGCTTATTTATAACTTAAAGAAAAAAAAATCATGGTTGCCCTGGTTAGTCAAACATATAACTAACTACATGGTGAAAAACACTCATCACTGTCTCTCCACCTTACCTTTAGCTCACAGTCTTCATTCACAGCTAGGTTACTAGGCTTTAGGTCCTAGGAAGTAAGTACAGAGAGGACAGGATCAAGTTTATGATCCATGGTAAATTGTCTCCCTATAGGTAATGATGAGGATACAGACATAAAATACTTCATCCATCCAACTATAAACAATCTCCATCCTACATTTAGTATCTAGGCTAGTTAGTCTTCAAATGGTAAAAAACTATGTATCTTGTTTTTCTAATCAGTTTAACCTTAGAACAAAAGTTGCAATCAATAATTTAATGGCTAAAGCAAGTATAGATAAGGATCTTGGCTAAATTCCAGTTTTCACCCACTACCAGCCAAGTCCCCCCAAGTAATTTAATTAAAAAAAAAAAAAAGCACAATACCTACCCTGTGAATAATATCAGCTGAATGTATATACTGTGGGGAGAAATAAAAGTTAGTTTAAAGGAAAATGTATCTCCGACTTCTCAGTGTCATATGATATATTTGATACACATTTCATGATCAGTAAGAGCTATTAGTATTAATAGTTGGTTTAGAAATTATAACAAGTAATTAATGGCAGTCTGTGTATCATAACTATGAGTTCCATACCATCAACTGACTAGCTGGAGTATGACTCAAGTAGCTTTCAATCTACTCTCTGGTTTCGTAAGAACCCAAAGCTGCTAAATATCAAAGACTTAATTTTAAAATACTGTCTACTGGCTCTTCCCACAGATAAATTTACCACCTTGGGGATGTTTTTAATATGACACTGGCATTAGATTATATCAAGAAACAATTAATACTGTTGACATGTAGTAGTGAACAGTCCTACCTCAAACATGCACACTTAAGTATCTTTGGGTGGAATGATACGATGTCTAGACTTGCCTTGAAATAATCCAAGGCTTAAGGAACACTAAGAAACAAGACTGGCCATATGTCGGTAATTATGGTAAAGAGGGATTGATTATACTACAACTGTATTTGTGATGATGTGAATGTCTGAATTTCCAATAAGAAAAATTTCCTGAACCCCAAAAGGAAGGTAGAGAGGGAGAAGGAGAATTAATTCCCCCAAATTATTACTATCTATACCTTGAGACCTCGGAGAATTTGGTAGATAAGGAACTGAACGTGGTCATCTGTAAGCTTCTGACATTTCACAATGTTGTTCAGATCTGCCCCCATGAGGTGGGTCACCAGATACCTAGAAATTAATGGACAGTTACACAGCTTTCTAGAACCCTAAGAAAAATTATTTTCATAAGACTTTTAAAAGGCTCCCCAGGAAGTATCATAGCGATAGCTAAAAGCTTAATAACTTAATTACTCTCAGCACCACCATTCCAACTTTACCACTTACCATCTATTTTTCTAAAAATTTTTATTCTTGAGCCCTCCCTGGTGGCACTGCGGGTTAAAGCACAGCACTAAGAAGCTAAAGCCACTTCCACAACTTCTACATGAGTTCGATCCCCGCCTGCCCCGGAGGTGACCACATGGCCCGGCAGACCTCTCCTGACCCGCCCGCTGCTCCCCTCAGCAGTGTACTTCGTCGATCTGCCTGTTCTGCTCCCCACTCTGTCCCTGGTGAATCCTCTCACCGCCCCTGCACCTCTGGCCTGTACCCCAGTTCTATGTGCACAAATAAATAAATCTTTAAAAAAAAATTTTTTTTATACTTGTCCCTATTTAATGTATCATTCCCTAGGTTTGGGAAAGGGATGAAAAAAAGATGGAGATTAGAATGACATGTTTTTATCAGTTTTCTTAGCAAAATGTTATTTTGTGAGAAATATACAGTATAACTAAATGCATACCATAATGACATTTTGTATTTTTAAATCTACCATTTGATTTTCATATGAACCCTGCAAGCTGGAGGTTCTAAAACAGGATTATCTTTACAGACTCCGCCTCTTACAGGAAAGGGGTATCATTAACTGGTAAAAGGCTATTTGTTTGCTGACAATATTCCTGCATCTACTTTAAAGGGAGGAACACATTTTACGTGTAAGCAAGATGAGACACAGAACTTCTCTCCCGGGTGGTGCTGCTTATTTAATCCTGTCTTTACATAGTGAGATTAGGGAATGATTATATTCAAGTCCAACAGGTTCACCACAGATATTCTAGATGCGATGCCTAACCCACTCACATTACTGTGCTGCACAGCTGTGGGAACTAAAAACTAGATTAGTACCAAGGAGGCTGAAATTTTAAAACTTAAGTTAGGTTTGTACTGTTTGAGAATAGTTCCCCATTTCCAAGGGGTTGAATAATAATGTATATCATTGACTGAGTGATAAAGAATGCTGATTTCATTTCACTTTTACTGTTTTTTAATCAACTTGAGAAAACAGGTCAGTATATTTACACCTGTATTATACGAATACACATACACCCACCCACCCCCACATTATTTATTATTTTCTGTCCTCAAAGAGAAATTGAACTTTTTTATATGTCCAATTTCCCTGTTGACACAAAAATATGTAAAAATAAACTATATAAATTTTTTTTAAAAAGTAGAGTGGAAAGTGGAAAGCATTAAAAAAAAAAACAAAAAAACAAAAAACAATTTCCCTGTTGAACTGCTTTGGTGAGTTCCCAATTTCACAAAGATCAACAGGACTTAACCTAGATGTGACCGTAGGTGAGATTTTAGCATTTCATATTTTTAAAGTTCTCACATTGATACTGCTTTGAGAAAAGGGTAGATTCTGAAGATAATTTAAAGAGTAACTTGGAATGTTTTCATAAAGGTAGTTCTGATTGAAGTGTAGTTCTGATTTAAGAGCCATATCAAGTTCAATGTGACATGGCCAAAGGCATTAGCACTTATTCTGTGCCAAACGATGTCTTGTGCACGCTTCCTGTCAACTCTAAAAGTAAATTTCATTAGTATTTTCATCTTGTTGAAGAGGAAACAGACAGAACAACAGTAAGGCCATTATTTGAGGTTAAATGAGCAGTAACATCAGGAGTTAAATCCAAACCTAATCTCAGAGACCATGATCTTAATCACAGTACCTGTAACATAGAAGTTAAATCAAGAGAATGATCTTTTTAAAATAAATATTTTAAAATGTCACAATAACCAGAAAAGCATTATCTCCAGATGGTCTCCTTAACAATATTCAGTATCAAAGGTAATAGTTAACTAATGATAAAGCTAGTTAAACATTCCATCCTAACCATAGTCACTCCGCTTCTTTTAAACCTCAAATTAATACATAATCGGACAAATAGGAGAGTGTTGTGAATAACTGGCTAACACCTGGAATCAGGGCTTCCCCTAGAAAATCTGGAATAACTGTTACCATACATACAATACCTATTATGACAAATTGCAAGGTTCAGGTTGAGGAAGAGAGAATCCAATTTGTCTTATAAATGACTGCTTTGCAAATAATTACATTTCACAACATCAGAAGTAAAAATTATTTTCTCCCCTGTCAAAATACTTTTAAGGAGAAAAGGTAAGCAAAGAAGCATTATTCTCCATGATTATATCTAGAATCTAACTTTAAAAAAAATCCAAATATGTCTGTGCTAGTTCACAAGGATGTTAAGCAATATTATCAATGCAACCATAGCAATTTCCAATATACTTATCATGTTTAAATCATTACCAATGGCTTAAAAATCCTACTCAGTCAGAACACCACTGACTGCACAATCTGAGAGAGCTTACTTTTAGTTAGAATATTCTATCACTGTAAAATTTCCATTACGCTCTTTCCCCATCAGGGACCATACATCTCTTTTTTCAATAAAATGTTCATAGAGGGTAAAACTGTTAAAACATTACATAAGTGTTTAAGATTAATCTATGTAACTACTAAGGACTGATGTTAGGTTACTTTTAAATCAACTGAAAAGTATTCGCGGCAGAAGTGTCTTGACACATCATGTTTATTGTTTCCAGACTCAAAGACCTATCCATGAGAACTAAGTGTCAAACTCTATCTCATCATATATAGGTTTCCAAAATAAATCTGGCAATAGTGGACAAAAGCACACATCTCACAAAGCTACCGAATGCCTAAGGAAGCCAGAGCAACATTTTAAAGCAATAAACAAGAGAAAGGGAGGAATATGGAGATTAGCACACCTAATTCCAAATTAAGCATTAATTCCAAAATTCCAAAAGAGCATTAATGGACAGCCACATTAACTTCTGTGTATTTGTTTCTAGAAAGCAAACTTAATTACATTTTACTAAAGCTATGCCCACTACTGTCAGTACATAACACTTTATTAAGTGTTATTAAGTAACAGAACTTACTAAGTAAATAGGACTTTATGATCCTAGAGGATGACTTTATGGCCTGATACAAATTTTGTTTTACTTTTCTTTGGAAGATGGTCTCCTTTAAATTTAACCAGTCTATAAAAAACACGTTTCTCAAAATTATCCTTTTTCTTAAAATTTACTTTTATTTTAGTGTAGAAGAACTGAGATACAGGCCAGTGTGTGGAAAGTGAGAGGACTCACCGGAGACAGAATGAGGAGCAGAACAGGCAGATCTACTGAAATACACTGCTGAGGGGAGCAGCGGGCAAGACAGGACAGGCCTTTTGCCATGTGGGCCACCTCCCTGGCCAGGGATCGAACTTAGGCCATTGGGGTGGTTGCACTGAGACTAGGCCACCAGGAAGGCCCTCAAGATGATTCTTGTAGGTAAAATGTACTATACCAGCAAAAGGGAGAATTCTACAATGAGTGGTATTTGGTACTCTAGACAAGTATCCTATTCTAAAGCTTATTTATGAGGTACTTCATAACCCAATGGTCAAGGCTCCTTTCCTTATGCCTCTGTCCCCCTTTTTGAAGCACAACAGAATCAAATAATAGCTATGTGAGAAAAATTTCTTTTCATGTCTACAGTTTTTATCTCTACTACTTCAGCCCTATTTGATAGAGCCAATTACCAAAAGCGGAAATATTTCTATATTTAAACAAAGTATTTAAAACAATGGTAAGACTGATCATTTGTAACCACAAGCCTCTGAAATACATCCTGTGATCCTTGGGACTCACTGTCTATTCCCAAAACAGCAGACAGTGATTCTTTAAAAATAAAATTCAGATCATGTTACTCCTCTGATCAAAAAGATTTTCCATTTCAACTAACAGTAAAGACAAGTACCCCTTCAAAGGCCAAGAAAGTCCTGTGTCAAGCAGTTCCCTGTACCAACTACCTTTGACTTCATTGTCTACTCTTCATTGCTCCCACTGTGCTCTCCACTGGTCCTCTATACTAGCTCAAAGACTCTGTTGCTGCAGTTTCCAGTACAACATGGTTCTTCTGCCTCTGGACCTTTGCACGGGCTGCTCCTTCTGCCTGGAATGTTCTTCCCCCGCATATGCACCTACCCAACGCTTCACCTCCTTAAAATTTACCTTCTCAATGAGGCCTATCCTTGCTACTTCATTTACAATTTCCTCCTGCCCTTGCACTCCTAGTAAGACCAAGCAAGGGCACATCTTCTGATCTTATCAGATATGCAGACCAAATTATTCTAATGTAAGGAGTGAGAGCTTCGCTGGTTTATTTCACAACAAACTATTCTCCTTACTTATAGTATAAATTATTGAAAGGTCATTGCCTGCAGCAGCCAAACAGAGACAATGTACTACTATATGGTCTACACACAGGATGAAAACAAAAAGTTAGTTAAAAGAGAGTGTACTGGGGGCCCTCCCTGGTGGCGCAGCAGGTTAAAGCACAGCAGGTTAAAGCACAGCATTGAGACATTGAGAAGCTAGAGCCACTTCCACATGAGTTCGATCCCCGCCTGCCCCAGAGGTGACCACATGGAGCAGCAGACCTCTCCTGACCCGCCCGCTGCTCCCCTCAGCAGTGTACTTCACCCATCTGCCTGTTCTGCTCCCTACTCTGTCTCTGGTGAATCCTACCATCCTCCACATCTCTGGCCTGTACCCCAGTTCTGTATGAATAAATAGATCTTAAAAAAAAAAAAAAAAGAGTGTACTGGGCAAATAAATTACTACACTGTTATAAACAAGACAACACAAGGTTATTTGTTCATTCAATCACTCCATCATCAAATATTGACTGCCAAGTACTAGGGATACAACAGTAGAAAAGAAGACAAAGGATTTAGATGAGAGGAAGGCATGTATATAAACATACAGCCATAACAGAAAACAATTACAAGTAGAAAAGCACACATGGT